CAGAAAGGAAAGCACCTTTTATTCCCTTTCTCCTCCTCATGTTCACTGCATTTCCCCTTCTATCCTGATTTAAAAATGAAGATTTTGTCAACCAAAAGTTGACTGCAGCATCTCTACAACCTGCTGGCTGATGAGCAGCCAAGGCTTCTGCATGACAAACCCGGAGGGAGATTAATTAGCAATTACTGCCCAAATTGCTGGGTTAGTTCATCAAAAGGAGCTTAGCAGCAGTCCATCCTCTACCCCAGCCCCTGAGCAAAGCCTCATTTTCAAGGTGAGGAGAGCCCTAGGTATTTCCCTCCTCACTGCAGAACTCCCTTCGCTTGGTGCCTTTCCCTGTATGTCTTCCTGGGCCTCCTTGGTGKTTTTCCTGCCAGGAATCGGCTCCAGGATGAGCCCCAGCAGATCATTTGATATGCTAAAGGCAGGGAAATAATTAGCGAGCTGTGTGAGCTGGAGCGTGGGTGCTGCCTTTCGTTCCACCTGCCGCACGCAATTAGCGGAGACGCCTGCTGGGTGAGCACGGCCCTGGTCCCAGCACCCAGCTGCGACAGAAAGCAGCTGAAAAAAGGGAAAAGAAGGAAAAGAAGGTGGCTTGGCCTCTGGTGAGGTGAGAGATGGTGGCGGCATGAGCTCCGTGGCGAGCTCAGGAAGCCGAGCATGTAGAGCTGGGCTCCCCTGCAAGCCTCGGACACCCTTTGGGTGGTGCCACATTTTGGCAACCAGCTCCAGGTGCAGATAGGATAAGTTTTAGGAGAGCTGAGCACCTTTGGGTGCAAATGAGAGCCATGAGGCCTGTAAAAGAGGGAGCAAATGCTGAGGCTGCGCTTGCATTGCTGTGATGGGAGATGGAGGCTCCCTTGAGCTCCTGCCAGTGCTGACCCGTCCCCTCCTCCTCGCTGCTCTCTTTGCCGCCACTGTAACTTAGAAGAGGCTCATTCATTGCTTTCAACTGCTGACAGACAAAGCACAAATCCCACGGCAGCTTATTTTCCTCTTTGCCCATCAAGAGACTAAAGACTGAAGTTTCTATTACCTTTGGAGGAGCTCATTGCTCCGGTTAAAACCGCTCACATCTTCCTGAAAGCTATCCAGAAATGGTAAACATTTCCTGAGCAACCAGAGGAATATTTTATCCCGAGTCATGGTAGGAATTAATGCTATAATGAGGCACCTATCTAATTACACTGTGCTAGATGAGTGCTAATTATACACATAATAAYGAACTCTGAGCTCCTTCCATGCTCTGTTTATGGGGAGCATTGCAGAATTTTCCCTTCCTTCTCCGTGGGTGGATACTGCTGAATTTACTGTGAGCAAATCTGGGGTCAGTGGCTCGTGCTGTGCCAACCTCAAGGAAATCTTCTTGTGCCCCAGGGCTTTTTGGTTCTCACCTTTTCCTCCAYGCTGGGGTCCCTATTAGTGCCTTTAATGAAGCTGTTCTTCCCCTTCATGTGCTGTTTTTAGTCTGCAGATGCCATATCACCATCTTCCAGTAAAATATGAGGCATAACGGGCTCTGGAAATGCAGAGGATGGAGAGAAGAAGAGTCTGGGTTAAATTTGAGGTTAGAAAAAGATGCAGGTACCCACGATGGCAAAGTTGGAGCGATAACATTGAGCTTGGGGGCAGCGGGGACAAGCTGGAGAGGGCCTGGTTTATCCCATACGGACAATATTTGCAGATCTCCAAACCAGAGCTAATCCCACCTAGARGGGTTGGTGGTCTCGCTCGCCTAGGTTAGTCACCAAAACAGTGCTCTCCGAGTCCTCCTCCAGCACAGTCCTTCCTGTGCAGAGAGACAATCACCCTGGGAAGATGCCCTGTGTCATGACCATCACAAGCGCTCCTCACCAGCTCTCCAATGACCACTCCAGCCCTGGACCAAGCAACAAAGCTTTCCAAAACGAGAAGACCCAGCAGAAGAACAAGAGCCCACGGCTACCAAGACTCAGCGTTTCAATACAAGCCTCTTACTGATTCTGCTGTGAGCTCTTCCATTGGGAATGTGACACTCGTTCATCATGGCCTTGTCCTTGATCTGCWTTATCACAGTGCGCTGGCAATAGCCACTTCAAAGCCAATGACCATGGTGCACTTGTCCAAGGGATAGAGGAAGAGTTCTGCCTCTGGAAAGGTTTTAGCAACACTGAGTGCTTCAGGTGGCCCAGCTCCCCTGTCCTCCTCACAACCCTATCTCCTTAGGACCCTCGGGGATGCAACTGAGGAAGAACCACTTCCCAGGTCCCTAAGCATTGATGGAAACATCAAGAGCAAACATTGAGATGCTGATCCAGCCATGCATATCCACCCATTTCACCACTTCTATCTCTTCTCAGGTCGTCACAAGGGTGGCAGGTCAGGAGCAGGGTGGAACTCATGCAAGCGTCCGAGCAGCTTAAAGGATGCAACTCAAATGTTGCAGTCCACAARGATCCACCTCCAAAATGTCTCCTTCTGGTTGACTTMTTCAGCCTCCCCACTTCTTGAGATGTTTCTCCAGGACCAGACCACAATTGTGAGAGTTTTCCTTTACTCTTGGGACTGAAAGACCATGCAGGGGGATAGGCGTTCTCCCTGCCCACTCTGGTGTGACAGCAGGACGTGGCCAACGTTGGCTTTCCTCTCCTGCTGCCCCCGTGTCCCCACTCTTCCAGACAGGCCCTACAAGAGATGCCTCATGCCTTTGCTCAGCAGAAGCATTCAGCTGCAAAGCAGCTGCTTCTGCCAATTACATTTCAACCCTTCTCTGCAGCAAGGTTTCCTCTGCTCCAGCTCATCATCACCCTCCCTAGACTAGGGCTTCAAAGGAGAATTTTGGGGGCTGGCTCCCCAGGGGAATCTGAAGACGTTGCTGTGCAGCAGCTCTTCCCCTCTGGCTCTATGGCGCTTTACGCAACGATTTCGGAGGCCCAGGAGGAGCCTGCAGCAACACAAAGCAGCCATATCCCCTTCGGACACCCTAATGATGCAAAGGGGAAAGGGCCAGACATCGTTCCTGCAGGTGCCCTCAAAAAACTCAGGTCTTGCCCAGCCGCAGAAAAGACAGTGTCAGGCTGATGCTCTTCTCTGGTGTATTTTCCCATGTTAAATATCAGAGCAAATCAAAATAACAGCTCTGTCCCCAACACTCCCAGCTGCCCAGCAAGACCCCAAAGGGGCACAGGGACCCTCTTCCCGGGTAGCCACAAAGCACTTCTGCTCCCACACTCAGAAGTTTGAGCRGGAGTTTTCATTCCATATGGGAACAAAAAAACGGACTTTTTCTCTTCCCATAAAACAGTAAGGGCTGCAGGTCCCCCAAACCATCCCCGCAGATCCAACCAGGGCCCGTGTGGTAGGACCAGACCCCAGGGTGATAGTGCTTGGAGGGAGAATCTGCTTTCCTACAACTGGGCAAAACATTCCTGAAGCTTCACTTGCCTCAATCAACACTGACATCCAGTGGCTTGTCCAGGTGATTACAGTCCTTCCCTGAGGAGATGAGGCAGAGAGCCGGCTGCACGGCCATGGAGCAATCCCAGTGCTGCCCAAAGCTGCCCAGCAAAGCAGATTCCCACCTGGTTGCAGATGTGAGAAGACAAGCAGCTCACCTGGCTTCAGGTCACCTTAGCTTGCTAAGGGGCTGTCACCCTGTCCCTGGGCCAAAGGACACCCCACGGTCCACCCTTCCCATGGCGTTAAGTGGCAGGGCGCTGCCCACCCCATCACAAGGCTAGGTTTGGTGGCAGGCCGCCTCCTCCACCCTACGGCCTCGGCCTCCTCCGCGCCCGGATTTTCTGAGCTACCATCACGCTGAGCAGGGAGCTGAAGATGCCCCAGGGAGGTGTCTATGGCCAAGGAGACCTCCAGAACCAGGATGGTCCCRATCCAGCCACATCCCTATCCCAGCAAGAGGAGCGGGCTGGGCTAGGCCCTGCCTTGTCATTTAACCTGTTTTGGGAAGGGCAATTTACACCCTGAAGTTGGAAAATTTATCCTTATCAGATAAACGAGCAAAACTTGGGAAAATCCCACTTGCTTCCCATGCTCATTGAAGTATTGGCTTGTGCTGGGTTTTGGCTCAGAGGAGGAAAATCACATACGGCGAGGAAAAAGAAAAATCCCGGGATTGGTACAAGTGCATCTGGTAGCCATGGCGGATGTATTCACACAACAGAGCGGGGTCTGACCTGCCGGCTGAGGCAGGGGGAAAGCTTTGGAAGCAGAGGAGCAGGCGCTGCTTCCCAGGCCTCGTAAAGCAGCTTCTCCTCTACCGCCAACCCAGGTCCAGCCCCACGGCTCAGCGCCTGCTCCGCAGTCAGGCCCCGGCCCCATGGCCAACTCATGCCCAACAGCAGAGCTTGGGCCCATAGCCAGGCCCAGTCCCACAGCGTGGCCCGCGACCCACAGCCCAGAATAGGGCTACATGGGAAAAGTCAGGTTGAGCTGGGAAAAGGAGCATATTCATCACACTGCCCCATAGCCTGTCCCCAGCCCCATGGCCAGGTCATGTACAGCCCCATAACCAGATCCCAGCCCCATAGCYTGTCCCCTGTCCTACACTAGACCAGGTCCAGTGTCACAGCCCATCCTACAGCTAGACCAGGCCCAGTGTCATGGCCCATCCTACAGCTAGACTAGGTCCAGTGCCATGGCCCAACCTCAGCCCCATAGCCAGGCACCAGCCCCATAAACCATGCCAACCTTGGCCCCATAGTCAGGACTCAGCCTGGGCCCCACAGCTGGGCTCAACTACAGCCCCACAACCAGCCCAACCTCACCAGGGACCCCAACCCCCTACAGCCCGGCCATGCCCTGCCCCCATAACGCGGGCCACGCCCCCATAGACCACGCCCACACAGACCGCGCCCCCATAGACCACGCCCCCAACATGTCCACGCCCCCCCCCCTGCAGAGACGGAGGCGGAACGCTCGGTGGCCGGAACGGTCGTGCCGCGTTGCCGTGTTGCCGGGCGGGCATCGTGCTGAGGGCGGCGCGGGCGGGAGGGCGAGCGGCGCAGGCGCTGTGGGCGCGCGCGGCCGGCGCCATTGCGGCTCGGGGCGGCCCCGCAGCGCTGCGCCCGCCGCCGCCATGGCCACCGACTCGTGGGCCCTGGCCGTGGACGAGCAGGAGGCGGCCGCCGAGTCGGTGAGCAGCGGGGAGGACGGCGAAGCAGTGGGGRCGCGGCGGTGGGGGTTGGGGGGCGCTGCGGGAGCGGCTCCCGGCGGCCGCCCCGAAAACGGGCCCTTTCTCTTCCCTTCCCCCCGYGCCTTCTGTGTTCTTCCCCTCGCTCACGGGTTTTCTTCTCCCATCATCGCAGCTCAGCAATTTGCACTTGAAGGAGGAGAAACCCAAGCCGGATTCTAACGGTGAGTTGCGGCCCCTGTCTCTGCGTGGGGGTAGGGGTAGAAAAATAAAAGTAGAGGTGAAAAGTCACTGTTTTTGTTACCTTGCCCTTCCCGTTCTCCTCCCACATTTGGTGCCAAGTTAAATTCCTCGGTAGTGGGTATATTTTGGCAGAAAGGAGCATAAAATGAAGGTTAAGCAGGATTTGGGGCTGAATTCCTGCCTTATTTGTCCAAGCTGCTGTGTTTTCATTGTCATCTGGTGCCTGTAAATCGCTGTTAGAGCAGCACRCACTGCAAGGGGCTCGCAGGGAACCTTGGTGTCAGTTTGCAGCTGTAACCCGGGCACTTTCTGCAGGACTATCCTTATCCCGCAGTTGCCCTGCTTTATAGCTTTTCCCACAGGATTCAGACCCCAAAATTCTCCCAGGCTTGAGTTTCCYGTTTTGCCCTGGGGCCCTAGCTCATGTGGACTTCTGGCACTGTCTGAATCCAGGTGCTGTCGTCAAGATGGATGACAACGCGGAGAAGACAGAGGATGAGGAAAAAGGTAAGTGCATTTCTTGGTGGATGAGAGGAAGGATTTTGGAGCAGAATGTTGGAAAGAAATCCATATGGCGTGAACTTAGTGAGTCTCCCTATGTCTCAGGATGGATGCCTTTGTATTCTACCCTTGTATCCTGACTTAGTTGTAAGGCAGATTCTTCCTTTGAAATGCTTATAAAGCCTTTAGGTCCCATGATAATTTGGGAGGCTCCTGGATTAGGATGAAGTAAGGAGACAGCAGCATCCTCAGGGGCAGGAGCGGATAGAGCAGCAGTCGGATAACCTGGAGCTGGAATTGCTGTAGCCACCAACGTTTTGTGCTTATGAAGTGGGTGATAGAAGRTGAGTAACGTGCGAGTCTTTTGCAAGGCAGCTTAGGAGAAACATGTTTTGGAAAGCCAGAGTTCCAAATCCTCCTCAGGGCAGCAAGTCAGCTTTAGGTTTTTATCTGAGTTACCCTTGGTCCCAGGCATATTAGAAGCTTTCAAAGCATCTGTTGCCCTCAAATTTTCTTTAAAACAAAACCTGAAAGRTGTCTGTTCAGGCCACGTTATTTTTTGTATCTCTTTCTTTTTCCTGCAGAGGACAGAGCTGCCCAGTCCTTGTTAAACAAGCTGATCCGCAGCAACTTGGTTGACAACACAAATCAAGTGGAAGTGCTGCAGCGGGATCCCACTTCGCCTCTCTACTCTGTGAAGTCCTTTGAGGAGCTGCGCCTGTAAGTGCCCGGTTGTTTATGGGTTCCAAAAGAGGWACCCGGGAATGTCTCCAAATTCAACAGTTGGTGCCTGGGCACTGAAATGCTAAATGAGGTCCTTCGTAATTGTGTTTTGCTGGTTATTGCTTGACGGGTGTCAGTTTGGAGCTGGTCAGGCAGTTGCAATCTCCTCTCATGTCCTATTAGATTTCCTTCTGGTGGAGAAGGTATCACTGGTTTCTGTTTCAGGTAGCAAATATGTCATTAATAAATCAGTGTATTGTGTGTTGTATAATTTAAGCACAAGCAGTGAGAAGTATTACTTTTTTTTTCTTGGTGTTTTTCATCTGAAAGGTAGTCGTTCTGAGCAATAACTTCCTGTACAAGTGTTCTCAGTCCTGATCTGGGCACATCTGGCTTTATTTTTTCCCCCTCTCTAATCAGCTCTAGCAATACAGGCCACCTTGAAATGTCAGGGTGTTGTTTGAGTCCCATTGTGGCTGAACATCTACGAAAAGCCACAATTAATGCCTGTTAGCATCATCTTTCAGAGGCTAAATAGTCTGTCGGCAGTCAGACCAATTGAGTCCTTTTTTTGGTAATTTCCTTATGACCTGATGTATCCCTGACACCTGTTCCATAGTGTGGGGCTTTATAGGTTTGCCTTCTCAAAGAGCTTTTTGAGTTGCATCCAAAGGGAATTTGCGCTTTCTAAAAGGCACCTTGTGCAAAGTAGCAAGTTCTTAATGGGGAAAAAAGGGGACTTTTAGGAAAACTCACTTGCTTTGAAGAAAAAATGATTACTTCTGAGCAATGCCAGCAGCTCTCCAGCAAGCGAGCTCATGAGCTGAGAGCTTCCTAACGCCATAACCTGTATTGTAYGTTGTTTTTAAATCTTTTTGTGTAGACAAATGTCTACTGAAACTAGAGAGCTGACTAGCAGAAATAGTAATTGTGGGTATTTAAGGGCTAGCAATGTCACTGCACGCTTGAACAGTAGGTTATAGTCAAGTTACACTGAATAAGTTTATCTGTCTTCTCGTATTTTTGTGCATAAAGCCAGTATTACTGCAGTGGGAGGTGGATCTATATTACAAGATCCGTCAAAATGAAAATCTTTTTAATGATTTAGTGATGCAAAATTTCATTTGCATATGCTGAGGCTACTTTGCCCCCTATTTGAGTCTTGAAGAAGTCAAAACTGTGGTGCCAAGATTAGGCATTGCTAAGGAAAAGGGATTGACCTTAAAGGTAGGATTAACAGGCCCTGCTCTGGAATCACCAGGACTGTCTGCAAAGCTGCTTTGGAACATGCAAGAAGCCCAGTGCTGGCACTCAAGGTGTGACACAGTTCTCTAAGCAGTTGCAAAAGGCAGGCATATATTCTGCCTTACATTTTTTTTTCTTTATCGGTAGACATTGTCTCTTGAGCTGTCTACATTTGTGCTTGCTTAACTTGAAACATAACTGTGTGCATGGTTACCTTGAATGATTTGTGTCTCTTTGAAGAGTCACTGGGTAAAACAGAATCTCACTGTGCTCTGTGGTTTGAGCTAAATGTGAAATCAACACGTAGAAATCAAATATGTTTAATGTGCAACATTTTGCTGTCAGAATAATCTTACTCCCTTTTAGGAGGCATAATCTTGAAGGCGAAGTGATACATCTGTTTTTTAAAGTTTCCTTTGATATTTCTGAAAATATGTAGATTTTCATGGGTAAGATGTATTTTGAAGTTTTTTTGGATATTCCCCTAACTTCCTACCAGCTGAGAGGGTAACTTAGATGAAAAATAGTTTGAAGCAATGAATTCAGCTGAGAGGKTAACTTGGATGGAAAAGGCTTTGAAGCAATGGGTTGGGTGTTTTCTGGGTGATGCTTCTGGGCTCTGCAAGGAATTAACGCTGGGTTGCCAATGACCTTTGTAAAGTTCTTCTCAAAACACAGCTCATTGGAGGGTACAGCTGCTTAGCACAAAGATTTTTTAAAAACAAAGCAAAAAAAAGTCTCCTCTCTTTTCAGGAAGCCGCAGCTTCTGCAAGGAGTCTATGCCATGGGCTTCAACAGACCATCAAAGATACAAGAAAATGCCCTGCCCATGATGCTTGCTGAGCCGTGTGTACCCATACTTTCTATTGCTTTTGCATTTAGAGTGGATTAGAAAGATTTATTTAGCTACTACTAGGCTGCTGCTGTGGATGGGAGGGAGGATGGCGATGTCTGAGCTTGAGGTGAAAGGGGTCCTGTGATCCAGGGCTTCTGTGGGCCCTGTGACGGCAGCCCTAGATCTGCCCTTTTCCCAGGGAAGGCACTAAACACTGACTTAGATACTGCATCTACAGTAGGCCAAGGTAAATCTGTTTTTCTTCTTTTTTTTTTTCTTAGTGTAGGGGAGAAATAATAAAGCTGTTATGGAACATTGGTCTGAAAATTCTGGATAGATGGGAATAGATGATCCCTGGATAGATGGCTATGGATTCTCAGTCGCAACTTGATTTTTCTCTCTGCGCCTCTGTGTTGGAATATGTGAAGTATTAAAAGACTAGAGGGAGATGTGCAAAATGGAAAAGTACTGCCAGATTGTAGCAGTTTTGCTTAGAAATCTAGTGATCAAGGTCACTTGTACTGAAAGAGCAAGTTGGTAGAAGTTGGAAACTAACTTCTGCTCTGGCAATACAGAGAGCTGATAAAACTCAAGTGTGTTAAAATGCTTATGCCTGCTCCTCGCTATGTTTCCTTTCTTGCTTTTTGTTTGTGTGGATCGTGCTGAGCTTGTGCGTGCATTTGAAGTGTCTSCTTTGTGTTGCAGCCCGCAGAACTTGATCGCACAATCACAGTCTGGTACTGGTAAGACAGCTGCCTTCGTCTTAGCCATGCTCAGTCGTGTTGAACCCGGGAACAAGTATCCACAGGTAAACATTTCTGGAAAACAACTCTTATTGAGGGTTAGTGATAGTGCAATGCCATCTAGTGCAAATGCTGTTAATCTATCTTTTGGTGTTTCTTAGTTTATTTTTAAGGGAGCTTAGATAGCTATTAGGACCCTCATCACCTCTGTCTTTATGTCCTTTAGCAAAATATCTACACTCTTGTGTCTAAGTATCAGAGCTGGACACAGCAAGCCTGTAGCTAGATTATCACAGGCATATGAACTAATTTCCAAAGGTTAAGAGTCCAGAACTGACTGGGCTTCTGGATACTGCTGGGCTGCTCATGCATTCATCTTCAGTAAAACCTCAGTAAGGATTTTTAAAAGCAAGTGTGATCATATTGATSATCTCCAACTCATTAATCCCTCTATCTCTTTAGTGTTTGTGCCTTTCCCCAACGTATGAGCTGGCACTTCAAACAGGAAAAGTGATTGAGCAGATGGGAAAGTTTTATCCGGAGCTGAAACTTGCCTATGCTGTCCGAGGCAATAAATGTGAGTAAAGTGAAATGCCACTGAGAGACTGGGAATGAGAAAGATTATTCTGCAGTCGTATCAGACTCTAGCACAGCCAACTCGTGTSTCCACCAGCCTAGGATCTGTACGGAATATGAACTTAGTGCAATGGGAGGTAACTCAGAGTGGGGCAGGGCTTCCATTGGGACAAGTCTGTCAGTGCTTTGGATGTTACCAGAATTTCTTACCTAGTGTAAACACAGCTAAATACTAGGAGTTGTTTTGTGACTGATTTCATTTCTCTTGGCAGTGGAGAGGGGTTTGAAGATCTCTGAGCAGATTGTAATTGGCACACCTGGCACCGTGCTGGACTGGTGTTCCAAACTGAAATTCATAGATCCCAAGAAAATCAAAGTGTTTGTCTTGGATGAGGCTGATGTAATGATTGCAACCCAGGGTCATCAAGATCAAAGCATCCGCATTCAGAGGTAAGGACTTCTTGCCTGACGATGGGAGATGAAGGTTATTCCTTTCAGTTATAGCGAGGTGTCTTGTAACGTGGAGGCAGTACGGCTAAGTTCTTGACTGGTGAAGCAAGAATATTAGAATCATTTATTTAGCTCAAATTCAGATGGTAATGGAGATGTTTTGTTAAGGGATGGCAAGCAGTTAAATTTTCTTAAGGATTAAAAAAAGGTGTCCCCAGATGAGGATTTATTCATTTGTAGATGATATTGACATACATGGGAGTGATCAGGTATGACTAAGATGAGTTTTAGTCTTTCCATTCACTGAAATAAGTAATTTTGATGGTTTTGTTTTCCTTTGCCTCTAGCTCTGATCCTGTTGAAATACTGTGAGGCAAGTGTGGCATGTGACTCCCATTTTGCTCTTTCTTGCAGAATGCTCCCCAGAGACTGTCAGATGCTTCTATTTTCAGCCACTTTTGAGGATTCTGTGTGGAAGTTTGCTCAAAAAGTTGTTCCTGATCCAAACATTATCAAACTGAAGCGAGAGGAGGAAACACTGGACACTATTAAACAGTACTACGTTCTGTGCAATAACAGAGATGAAAAGTTCCAGGCTCTCTGTAATATCTACGGCGCCATCACCATTGCCCAGGCCATGATTTTCTGCCATGTGAGTCCTTTTGCTACTGCCAACAACTCCCTTAGTTTGTCAGTGTTAAGAAAGCTGGCCAGGCATCATCGTCATCTCTTTTCTTGACTATCATAACTCTTAGATAGAAAAAGCAAAGCTGACAGGGCCAGAACAACCACGTAACCAGTATAAAGGCATCAACCCTGTGTTTGGAGCCTACTGCAGTTGACCTGGTCTTGAGAGTCACTTTGTTCTTGCTTCCGGTTTTAAAACCTCTTTCCAAAGATGGGCCTAACTTTGTGTTCCAGACTCGCAAGACGGCTGGCTGGCTGGCGGCAGAGCTCTCCAAGGAAGGCCATCAGGTGGCATTGCTCAGCGGAGAGATGATGGTGGAGCAAAGAGCTGCTGTCATAGAGCGGTTCCGAGAAGGCAAAGAGAAAGTGCTGGTGACCACAAACGTCTGTGCCAGAGGTAGTGAGCACGTACAAGGACAACTCAGTACTTAAAAAGCCAGAAGGTCTTTATAGCTTCTAAGAAGGGAGTTTCCACTAGAAATGCATGAAGATTGGGTAAAGCTGAGCAGCTCAGACTGTTTTTCAGTATCCCTTTAATGGGATTCTCTGGTGTTGATTCTTATTTTCAGCTACTTCATAAATATATTGTTGAAAAGATCTGTTTCCTGTTGAAAAGATAGGTTCTTCTGGATCGTTTTAGCCACTCTTGGTGTGGTTTCAGAGGTTGACACTGGCTTCTAACTCTTAAGTCATCTAGGGGACAACTTTGTGGCAGCTTTCTGAAAGCCGTTGAAAATTGTGCAGTTTGGAAGCCATAGGTGTTGGGACCAAAGTGCACACAGTCTGAACAGAGAGTGTTTCTGTTCCAAGATGAATAAAATGGAATTGTAACCTGATGCTTTCTTTCATCAGGGATTGATGTAGAGCAGGTCTCGGTTGTTATCAATTTTGACCTTCCTGTGGATAAAGATGGCAACCCAGACAACGAGACCTACCTGCACCGGATTGGCCGTACAGGTCGTTTCGGCAAGCGAGGACTGGCTATTAACATGGTGGACAGCAAGCACAGTATGAATATTCTCAACAGAATCCAGGAACACTTCAGTACGTAGCCTCCTACTTTTTTTTTTTTTCTTTCTCCTCTAAACTTGATTCTATTCCAGGTGAATTTTTACTAGCTATATATGAAGCAGCTCTGACTCTAACAGGTATTTGTCAGCCGAATAAGACATCAACTGCATTTTGGGTTGTGGTTGATTTTGAGAGAATAATGTGAGAAATGGAGCTGTGCAACAAATAGTTCTTCTTGCCTTTCCTTTCAAGAGGGTAGTGAGCCATTATTGGATGAAGTTCTTTGCATGGGTGCAAAGCAGTGTTTATCGTGCAGTACAAGAGATGTGTGACAAGTGCTCATGGATAAACTTAATTTCCCTKAGAATGCAACTTTCTCTTCTGTGTTTAGTTACACTGTATCTGACCATCTTCTTCCATCTTTTTTTTTTTTAAACAGACAAAAAGATAAACAAATTGGATACTGACGACTTGGATGAAATTGAGAAGATAACTAACTGAAGAACAGCTGCTGGAACTGGTGTGTACCCTACTGTGGAAGCTCTCCCACTCCAATTGGATCAGTGTTCAGATTGGCACGCCTCTAAGCTAGTCCCGAAAAGGACTTTTAAGATACGACACAAAAATTACCTCATTTTAAAAATTGCAGTTGGACTTAAAATTGTGCAACTATGGGGAAGAAGAGGCAATGTTTACAGAAGCTTTTCACACTTCTTAGTTTAGCCTTAAAATGGGAAAATATTTTGAATTCTTAGAAATACACTTGCCAAAAAAGGCAAAATGGAACCATCTAAAACAAATAAATAAATGCTTTATTGCCTTTAATTGGGATGAGGTTCAACATAAACGTGATCAGTTGAAATTCAACAGCCAAATATATAACAGACATGGATTAAAAAAAAAAAAAGGCAGCTGATTTTTGGCTAAAAACTCAAGTTGTACTAAACAGGATGTCATTCTCTTGGCGCTCCCTGAGCTCTTAAGACTAATTTCTGGCTTCCTGATGGATTTGCCCTGCTTTTCCTTAAGTAGATTGTCCAGAAGATGTCTGTAGTAGCTCATTCTCTTGAACACAGGTGCCGTGTTGCTTTTGCTGGGCAGTATTTTAATTTGTCATTAATTTGTTTTGAATGGCCACTATACATAAAGCAGTGCAGTGGTGAAAGTGCTTGATTAAGTACTCTAGAAGTTCATCGGAAGCATTTAACCTTGCCAAACTGCAGATGGGTGGGGAGGGGGGCAGTGTAAAGACAATTGTACTAATTAACTTTCTGAATAAATTCACCTCTGTAAAATGGTAGTGTCTTTTCGAGTGGGGGGTTAGTCACCTGTAGGCAGATGCTCTCAGTTCTAAGATGCTGTGAAGCTCCATGTGAAGTAAAACATGGAACCACTGGATTTCACTGATGAGTAGTAGAAGCAAGAATATTTATCTGGCTTAAAAAAAAAAATCATGGTAGCTTGTATTGACCAAAAAATATTTTTAGAACACCAGATTTACCTGTTACAGGATGTTTCAGTACCAGAGTCCTGAGTGAAATTGCTCAGGCAAATCACAGATGGGAAGCACTCCACTTTCGTTGTGCTAGTAGTGCAAAACAGGTCCTTGCCGGGGGGTGTTATTTATAACTGCGGTGTTTGGACTTTTTAGGTCACTTGGGACCATTTTTGTGTGCACAACTGAAAGTTGGGCGGTTGTTTCCCCCAGCCCAGTTTCCAGGACATGTAGGCTCCTGAACTACGACAGAGTGGTGCACAGCTCTTTCAAGGAAARTGGGACGTGTGTGAGCAGCCATTGGCGTGCTACTCAGTGCAGGTATCACTTCAAAACCAATGTATAAATTGTAAATTTAACTAGGAATTTTCTTTGCAATTTTGGCCATCATATTCTGTTCAAAGACAGGAACATGGATCCTTTTACCAAGTAAAAAAAGGCTCAGTTAAAGTGTACCTAAAATTTTAGGAAATTGTGCACCCTTTTATCAATTTGTATAAAGGCTTTAGTGAAAAACTGTTAAAATTAAACTTTTTGTATTCTGGGGTGTATCTATTTTTATTCTGTTGGAAACCTATTTAAAGTGGCAAGTGAGTGAGTGCTTGCGTGTAGAGTGGAAGACTTGTTTCAATCACCTACTTTAATAGTGCAACTGAATGACCGCGTGACAGCAGTGCATTGGGTTGAACTGTCATGAAAGCTGCTGCTGGTTCTGTGTGCTGTTTCTAATGTACTTTAAGTTGGAATAAAGAACACGTACTGAACGATGCCTCAGCTCCTGGTTTGCTTGGGTACGTTTTTGTTCTGCAAAAGCCTCAAAGCATCCCCTCGAGTATGGCTTGCTCCTGCTTTAATGCTGATTTTCCTAAATTCTTTATAAAAAACCATGACAGCTTCCCACCATGAAGCAATAACCTGAAAAGATGCTGCTTAATGAATGAAGTTAGATAACTCCTGTTCTTCCCTCATTGTGCTGCTTGTGCCGGGACTTAAGCCACCGCAGCCACTCCCCTGCACATACAGAACAAGGTGTTTGAAGAAAAGAGGTGCAGAGCATAGCAAGTTCAGAGCTTTAGGTGCCTACTGCCAGCTCTGCTTTGGGGGAAAAACACCGGCAGGGGCCTTAGGCTGCAAACAGGGGGAAGCAAAAATTCAAATGGATGGTCATAAGATCTTGGAGATGCCTCAGCTTGTATGAGTTTATTAGAAGATCCGGCTCTCTCATCAGGTCCCTTAGGAGATTCTCCAGTTTTCCAGGAGAATGGCTGTCTGTTGTGATCTGGTTTGCTCTTCTCTTGGGCGCTGGTTGACGTATCAGCCTCCATGTGCTTTTAGAGCTGTGCAGCAGTCGCTGTTTCTCTGATCCTCAGCAGCAGGCAGGGCTTGATCTGAAGCACTGCTACTTCCTCAGCTGCAGGAGCTTGTATTTAACAGAGGACGGGGACAAAACCCGCCAGGAAACCACTTGCAGGATGGTGAGGAGACAGGGATGYGCATGTGCCAAAGTGTGAGAGTCCACTCTGGGCAGCGCCTGGGGTAGTTACAGCCAAATTAATTGTGGTTGTTACTTAAGAGGAGAGGCAGTAGCTAAACCTCCACTTCGCATAAATCATTTCAAGTACAACTTTCACCCTTTTAAGTTTTTATTGATTTGTTTTTCCTATCACACAATCTGAAAACAGTCTTGAAAACTTAAATGAMATGTAACATTATATACAGAAAATCAGGTGATGCTGCATGCTAATCCTGGTTTGATCTCTTCCTTCTGCCATGACTAAGGAGGGAGCTAGAGAAATCTGCATGTTAGAGCTGATTTGAAAACATCAACATAGTGGCTACTCGGAGTACCGGTAACAAATGCTCTTTCCTGCTCCTGCTCCTTATTCCCAGCAAAGTCCTGCTCCTTATTCCCAGCAAAGATATGATGTAAGATGCACTCTGAGACATGAAAGTAGGAAAAAAGAGTGAAATTTCCAGTAGTAAAAAGGAAGTAAAAAGGATGCTGTGTGATCACACATTGCAGTCCCGTTCTAAAGAGCTAAACTGTCACTAAAGGGCAGGTATCATTGGATAATAGTGCAGAGTCATTAAAAAGAGGATCTGACTTTCTGAACATTAGCAGRTTCAGACTTGTCACAGCTCACTGCTGTTCTACCCAAATATCTCATTAACCATTAAACACTGAATTAAATACAGAAGGGGGCACACATTTCCTTGTTGCTCCTGTTGTTTCTGAATGTTTAAGTGGAATGCATTACACCTCGAGAGGTGGTTTTCTAAAATGGGTGGACCCCAAATACTTGCTTGAGATAAAATTCCATGCTCTTGGTCAACGCAATACTGAGTTTTCTCCTACTGTTATTTTCCCAAGTAGGTAGTTGCATGGAGGTTAGAAACTTTGGTTTTACAGCTAAAAAAAAGATTTTATCTCACAATATTTAAACTAGCTTGGTTGTTTGGCAAGCTGTGCACTTTGAGAGCCTAAGTCATTTTTGTTTCAGTTATTTATCACCTTTAAGCTGTAAGGAATACCACCAGAAACTTAGATTTTTTTTTTCCTTTAGACTCAAGTGCATTGTATTTATACCAAAATATGCCCAAGTTACTCTAGCAAACTTTTTAAATGGAATAGCTCAGAAGAGTCATAACGTTTTAGTAAAATATGATCTACTGGGTGAGCCAATTCCTGTTCAAATCCAATTAATACATACAAAGAAAACAAACAAATCCCCTCAAAGCATCATTTACTTCCTTGAGCTCAATTGCAGAAGTGTTAAATGGCAGTTTTACCTATGAATTGTACCAGCTGAATGAGAGAACAAGGGGAAAAATATCCTCCTCTCCCATACAGCCCCAAATTAATCATTTGTTCTAGCAAGTACAGTGTAGTCACACTCCTAAAAAGAAGCACTAAGGTTTTCCAGGAATAGCTGAGCTCTCAAATGTCTTTCGCTGTTGCCCTTGCATTTAATACTTCGCAATAATCTACTAACTCTTATGTGCCATTGCTCTTCTTTTCAGATCTGAGTGGAGTTCAGTCCCTTTTGACGTTAAGAAGATGTTGTAGTGTGGCGATCTACTGAAGATGGACAAACAAAATAAAAACAGTTCTGTCTTCCCAAATATGGTATACTGAATCAGAATTCCTTCGGAGAAGTGGTCTATTCGTGACATATATACATAAAATAAAAATTAAAAAAAAAAAAACAGGAGAGATCTCTTACTCCAAGGAAAGTATGCATCGGAAACATCAGTCTTCAAAGAAGAAAACGGACCACTGCAAAAAGGCCAAAAGCTGGTGGTGCTTGAGAAGTGATTTATGATTTTACAGATTAGAAAAAAAAATCAATATTTCAACACATTTGGTTTATATACACAAATGTACTTCACAAGAAGCTTTTGGAAGACAGCAAGATTAAGAAGGTGGCCCAGGAAACTTCCAACTGTTCATTTTTGGGCTGCCAGACAAGAAATAATGCATCCTGTCCAGCAGCACGACCTGCAGAGGCACCTAGGGATGTGCACTGCCATCCTCAGGCCCCAAGAGATGTGCCTCTTGTTGCTCTTTCTGCAGGATGCACAATACTGACTTGTGGAGAATTCCACACTCTTGGAGAGACCTCGTAAGGTCGGAAAAACTCCTTCTTGGTACCTCCATGGTTTCAACACTACAGTGTTTGTATTTGGTAGCGGTTTTCTGCTCTGCCACAGCAAGGACTGTTTGAAGACTGTCTGTCGGCTTGAAACGATGCTCAAATCTTTGACCAGATGGAGATCTAATAGCAAGCAGYAAACTTGTCTCTTTCTTTGTTGGCTCTTCCAAACTTAAAGTGGACAATGAAGAGCTCTCTTGCCTCATTTTCCTTCCTGGCTTTTCAGGAGGATGCTGAACGTTCAAGCCTTCCTCAGGAGGTTCTTCAGCTTCTGACAGTATGTTGGCAGATCCTYGTTGTCTAGAAAGAGTTTTGAGTTTTTCAGCTCCCTCCAGTCGCTTGCTCAATTTCAGCCTGCTGGTCTGCTCAGTTACTATTTCCACAGCACTGCTCCCTAAGTCTTTCCTGCCGATGGAAGGGAGCACCCTGTACTTGTTCAAGGAAGAGGAGGTCCTCAAAGGCACTTGCTGGAGCTCTGGGATTTCTTCAGGAGACATCTGGCTGGATGGGAAGACCAGTTTTGGCGAGGAGGTTCTCTGGCTGTTGATCGATGTCTGGGCATCTGCTGGTGAAGATGGCACTCGGCAAGGATAAGCTTCCACTTGGGGAGAACATCTGAAGCTTGACCTTGTCCGTCCCTTGGCAGATTTTGGCCTCGTCATGTGCATGTTGACAGTGTTTGTCCACAAGAAAGCGGCTGCTGTGCTTGAAGGGAAGTAGCGCTTGGATGGTGCTAACTTCAGAAGAACTGCTCTGGCCATTGCTTCYTAAGACACCTGCAGATGGGGCAGCAGAGGGAAAAGTTAGCAGGAACTTGCCAGAAGACTTCTTGGGAGTTTAATTTCCCTACAGGTCCTACTTTTACACTGTGTATTATCTAATAATAGCAACAGATTTGGCTAGTTTTGTCACAGATTAAATCATGTAAGGTTAAGCTAGAGCACAAGGAAGCTGTGTTCTTTTCAATCTAAAGACTGTCAGTTTTGACAGAGATTTTTCTCACAACAGAAACTTAGTGGAAGGCACCTGAGTGAACTTCGAAGTACAGACGTGATGTTTCTGCTGTTCCTGCACTGCAASATTAAGTTCCCAATGAAGACTTTAAGGCAAGACTGACTACAGTTCTTTATTCAAATCTCTTCCTTAAAGACCCTGGAGGTTGAATAATCAATATAGAGAAACATATTAACTTTGCCACCAATCAAAAATGGTTCTCCYTGGTAGAGACTGACAGCAGTCTTCCATTAAAGAACTGTACTTTTCCTGGAAAATATATATCCTGGAAAATCAAGACGGGATATAGTATCTCCAGACCTGGCTGCTGATCATGTCAAAGCAAGCAAATAAAAAAAAAGCCCTCCTACCATCAATGAATGGTTTATTTTGTCTTTTTAGCACTCTTCAGAAAAAAAAAATGACCTTGTCTATGGGTAACCTTCATAAGGTTTTTTTGCAGATGCACAAGTTGGCTGTTCCTGCAGACAGGATATCAGTGGCCAAGCTCCCCTGCCTGCATCAAATAAGAAAGGGTAGGAAAACCGACTCAGGCCTTCTGCCAGTGATGTSGTATTTAACACTCTTCCTCCTCTACCTCTTGTTTTGGTGAATGGAAATATCAATAAGTCAAGACTTGGCCAAGAGGACACGGTCGCAGTGTGCCTGACAAGCCAGTGGGACAGAGCTGTTCCGGGAGCCCAGGATCCAGCTCTCAGGTGCTCTGTTCCCCTGTTTAGCTGGTGCCCAGCAGAGCTCTGGCCAGCGGCAGTGTGGACTCATCTGAGTCTCCTGGGAGCAGCCCAAAGGACGAGGGAAAGGGCAGGATCATTTACCCCATCTAACAAATCAACTYCAAGGCAACGACACAACTACAGAAAGCTCCAGACTGCAATCCCACGCCCTCCGGACAGGTCTGGAGCGCACTGAAGTGGCTACTGAGTGTCACAGCTCTATGGGCAAGGTGAAAATAAACCCCAAACAATCTGCCAGGAGTCACAGCTGGACTTTCCCAAGCCAGTGTCCATGCCCCTCTAGCAGCTTCTGTCTAGTTTGGATGGTTAGTGTGAGAAGGTGATCCATGATGTTTAAATTCGTTATGTTTTCAGCATGAACTGTCTGAATCGATGGAGAGATGGCTCCATAGCGTGGACCTGAAAACACAGCCCTGCCCCATAGGAAGAGCCCACAGGCTGCTCCCAGCCCCATAGCCTGAGTCTAAAGCCAAGCCTCAGCCCTGTAGCACAGGTCCACAGCCAAGTCTTAGCTCCACAATACAGTCCCACAGGGTAAAACCAGCCCCACASCTAGGCCATAACCTTGCGGCTCAGCCTCACAGCACAGCCCCGCCCCACAGCCATACTATGGCCTCACAACTCAGCCCCACMGCCTAAACCCAGCTCCACACACAGGCTCTGGCCCCACAGCATGGCCCCACAGCATGGCCCTGACCCTGTAATCCTGCTCTATAATCAAGCCCTTGCCTCACAGCTCAGCCTCGCAGCCTAAAAGACACCCCCATAGGCAGATCTGGGCTCCCCAGCATAAACCTGACTCCACAGCTCAGCCCCATAGCTAGGCCTAGGCCCCAAAGCTCARCCCTAGAGCCCAAATCAGACCCATTGCCAGGCCTGGGTCTCACAGCTCAGCTCTCCGACCTAGCCCTGACCCCATAATCCAGCTCCATGGCTGGCCTCACATCTCAGCCCCACAGCCTAAGAATGACCCATAGCCAGGCCCAAGTCCCACAGCTCAGCCCCACAGCCTAAGCCCATTCCCAGCCCTGTGCCCCCAGCCTGGTCCCACAGCAGAGCCCCAAGGCCCAAGCCCCACAGGTCAGCCCCACAGCCAGGCCCAGATCTCACAGCTCAGCCCCACAGCCTGGACAGGCTCCCCGGCCCCACAAGCAAGCCCCGGCGCTGCAGCTCGCTCGCTCCCGGCCTCCCTCTTCACCTGCCGCCGGCGCCCGCTGGTCAACACRGCCGTGTTGCCATGGCGACCACCCCGCTTCCGCCACCACAGAGCGGCTCCCAGCGCTTTCCACCCCGCCATTCTTCTCCTCGCGCTCTCCCGCACTCCCTTTGCCTCTCCCACTCYGTGATTCGTCCTCTCCTGCTCTGCTTCCCGCTTTGCCTTGCCTCCTTTCTGCACTCCATGCTTTTTCCTCTCCCRATCCACCTCTCCTTTGTCTTCTCACCTCGCCTCCCTCCATGCTCTTCCCTTCCCCACACACCCTCTCCCTTTACCTGTCCCCCTTTCCCCTCTCCGTGCTTATTCTTCCTTTTGTCTCTACCTTTTGCATCTCCATGCTTATTTCTCTCCCGCTCCTCGCCTTTTGCCTTGCCACCTTTCACCCCTTGGTGCTTCTTCAGCTTCTTGTCTCCGTTTCCCTCTCCTCCTTCCTCTCTCCCAGGTGCCTCTCTCCTTTTCCCTCTCCCTCTTTCCCTCTCCATGCTTCTTTATCGCCTTTTCCACTTCTCTCCTTGCCTTGCTGTTCTGTACTTGTATGCACTAGTGTGTACTGGTGTGTAATTGTGTGTGCTGGCGTGTGCTGGTTTGTAGCTGTGTGCACAGGAGTGTTCTGGTATGCCCTACTGTGCTTTGGTGTTTATGTGTACTGGTGAGCACTGGTGTGTTTTGGTGTGTAATGGTCGAGGGAGGRAGTGGGGAGGAGGGGGAGGCTCCAGCAGAGTGGTCTGGAAGAGAGCACAGTGAGATGGATGGAGAACTGGCTGGATGGCAGAGCTCAGAGGGTGGTGATAAAAGGGGCCGAATCCAGTTGGAGGMCTGTGGCCAGTGGTGTCCCCCAGGGGTCAGAATGGGTTTTCCAGGAGCAAAGAGAGGACASAGAAGGAGGGTCCGTGTGAAGAAAGCAGGTATGATGTGGGGCTGGGCAGTCAGGCTCTGGGTTGCGGGCCACATCGGTGGGGCCCTTGGCCAGGCAGGGAGGGAGCAGAGCTGGAGACCTGCACTCCTCCCACATTTCTTAGGCATGGCCTGAGCCAAAAAAAGGGTCTGGGTCCATGGGCAGACGTGAATGCAGGCCTCAGAGGAAGCTGGTCAGAGTCACTAAGGCCTATTAGCGCTCTTAGGGCCCAGAGAGATTGCCAGGTCATCCTTATCACCACATAAGTTCTCAGCCAGGATTTGTTGCCATGGATTCTCATTGCCCCAACTTCCTGGTTTGAGCTTTCCCTTATTGACCTTGGGACCCTCATTATTTCCCTCATATGCCACCCAGCAAGGGTTCACACCATTTGAGGGACTTAGTTTAATTCAAGAAAACAAAACTTCTTGTGCGCAGGCGTCAGTCTTTCTTCTTCTTCTTCTTCTTGTGTCTCTGAACGCTGCCCTTTTTCCCAGTGCTAAGGAGTGAGACAGGAAGAGGCTGTGTTATGCACAGGATGAATGGCAGAGAAATACTGCAGACTATGTCAGACTATGTATGCTTAGACATACTTCTGATGGTGTTTCATGCTGAACATCATGTTACACAGGCCCCTGTATCCAAAAAAGGTCTCTCTTGCAGCACATCAGCCTTGGGCTGAGTCTGATGGGGCTAAAGCTGGGGTGATCCTGTCTCTAATCTCTAGCCTTCAGGAAGAGGCTTGAAAAGGTGCAGACAAAACCAAAGGGGTCCCTTTGTGCTCAGACATTGAGGCCTTCTAAGTCTCACAGCTGAAGCCTGTTCTGAGCACTCAAGAGCTACCCCTTGGGTGGCAGGGAAGTCTGATCCAAGGCCAGCATGGCTTGCTCATGGTGAAATGTGACTGTAACAGCAATGATATCTCTCTCTCACTATGTGCAGTCACCTCCTGCTTCTCCTTCCCTCTTCTCCCTCAGCATCTCTACTCTGGTCCTATTTGCTGCCAAAGCACCCCACCTCCAAAGAAGTGCTGGACATTGACTTGCAGCTATAGAGAATTGCTTAGTGTCATGGTGGAACCATGTGGTGAAAAGTCTCAGGATGCTCTATCCAAAGTAGTGCATCTGGGACTGTGATCCCACAGTGGATCTCTGCTACTCAGCAGTCCTAGGCCTTTCCTGCAGCTGGCACTTGCCTACCCTTTCTGTTGAGTCTCCAGTTGCTCGGCCCGTCTTTTCATTTCRTCCTCTATGCGGGAGAAGTAAATGTTCACAGTCACATCTTTATCTTCTCCCAGAGGGTACTTGACAGTTTCCTGAATACTTGGCTTTTCTTCAGTTAACTTCTCAACAGTCATCTTTGGTCTCCGTCTTCCGTGCATTGCGCCTTTGGGAATTCTTGTTTGGGTTTTAGTTCTCTGATGAGTCTGCAAGACAATCCCACAAAGGTCTGTGCCTCACTCCCAAGTCCACTCAGCAGCTCTCAACATACAGCAGCAAAAGGTGCGTTGTTGCCAAACTGGAGTACAACCAGCATCTTTGAAAGCAAGGCCCTGACAAAGACATTTTGGGCTCAAAGTAATTAATCGGAAAGAATTTTCTACAGCTGTTGCCCACAGGCCAATGCTTTTCCATAATTCAGGCTGGTAAAAGAAACACCTCAAGTCAGGAGCACCTACCTGTTCTGACTCCGCAGCTGATGGCCCAGTTCCAAAGGATTGCCTCCTGGAACCTTGTGATTCTGCCTCAGTGGAGACTCCTGGGAGAGCCGGGATCAYACTGCAAATACACAACAGGAGGARTGGTATGAGCACRRGCAAAGGATTTCCACCCTATCTGTAGCCCTGGGAACATGCCWGGGAAAATATTCAGCCCCAGCAGATCATCTCTCTTGCTCTGGAGA